ATCGTACGTAATGCATTTCCCGCTATTAGCACAAGGTTTGTCATCACAGGCACGCTATATTACCAGAAGTACAAAGGACATGAAATGGAGAAGATATATTATATAACAGTTATTTACTGGAATCAAAGTGGAATCGAGAGAAAAAGTATGCTTTGTGGTCCCGAGACCGCTGATGTTTCCCGAAACGAAGCTGAGGATCGAGGGATAACAAATTAATAAGCCACATACTGTTTTTCCGATGTACCAGTCGATAAATGCTTTATTAAAGTATTTTAATCGGTGAAGAAGCAATAATGAACTTAGGAAAAGACGAATACAAGTACATTATTTTTTTCATTTGTCCAATAATTTGAAATTTTGCCATTATTTTCTCATTTTATAACCACGGGAGTGCGTGTGATTTATTCAAAAAAGATATTTCAAACTAGAAAAAGTTGAAAACAGGTATACATGTATATATCACGCGTTTTTTTCTCTGCATGTAGCGTGAGTTAGAACTACGTAGTAGATGTAAATGATTTCCATTAAATTTACAGAATTTTGGGCACTTTCATCACATTTACATCCAATTTACAACCTGTATACTCTGCATAATTGCAATATGTACAGATAAATAGATAGACCTTTAGTTTAATAGTTTTAATGACTTTTTTTAATGACTTTTTAGGGTTTTAAAAAACCCTATTGAAGTAAAAATCGAGAAATATTTTGTGCTGATTTTATGTTTATTCAGATACCAAATAGTTTCCACATTCACAAAAAATATTATTAAAAAACATCAGTATATTTGAAAATCAGTATATACATCAGTATATACAATTAGATCTCGAGGGCGCAGGTGAAAGCTTGTTTTATTGAAAAGAGTGAACAAACTTAAAATGGTCCGACCCTTAACATATCGATTTGAACCACAATATTTCTAAGGAAATTAAAATCAAGTCGATGACTATTGAAAATAGATTTCAAGTAGCGTTAGCCAATCACTGAATGTATGATTTGCAATAGTCCACTAGTATAGATACTAAATATAGATATTAAAGGTAAATTATTGCAAAACACTATTCATACC